GTCACATGCAGTGGCGGAGCGAGCCGCCGGCCGTTGGAGGGGCAAAAAAGCTGATGAAAAGTCCAAGGTTAAGTGGGCAAAGGCGCGAGCTTCAACTAGGGGTATGGGGTGTCCTCCAGAAATTTTTGAAAAACAGACTGTCGGAAATGCAGTCTGGTAGTATTTCAGGCATTGAGCGCATTTTAACAAAATAATCCGACCAGAGAGGAGAGTGTCAGACTTGCGAACAGACTTTCGAACCTCAACGAAGCCCCCGAAAATTTGAAAAGTAGACCTGGCGGTATTTCAGGCACTGAGCGTCGAGATAAATAGAGTTTACCAGATAGCGCCTGTCGACAAATCACTAGTTTATCATACCAGAGATAAGTGTCAATCGAAAGGAGTGCGTGAATCAAAGTGAATGAATATTTATCAGCTTTTTAACTAAACTAAATCTTACATAATACATCTTTAATAATATGATCATGACTAAAACGTAATTATTCGTACAATCCGATACAACATGAAAGATCATTTCGAATATAAATTCTGGCACATGCAATCTTTATAAGCAGTCTTAACTGGCTGTTTGAAATGAAATCAAGAAATACCTAAGTGATCAAAGTAAACGTATTTACAAAAACTAAACAAATAAATCTCTTCATTATTCGTTAAGACAGTTCATATGCACATTATCAATCACTTAGCGATTGATGCTCATTGACAAGTGATAAACAATCAGCAATAGGTCGCAAATCAATCATAAGTAATCAATAATCGATTGTTATTCAATGATCAATGATGATTTAATTCACTCATTGATTGTACGGGCATCAGTATATATTAGGTGTGATAGCATAATGTTTTATTTCGTATCTTGTCTGCAATCTCCTGCTTGTGTAATACAGTTTTCTCGTTAAAACATGGATGTTGAGGTAAGAATATTTATTGTTTTGTTATAAGTATATTAATTTGGTTTTAATTACATTGACTTTGTAAGTGTGTTTACTTTCGTTAACGACAAAATCATGTTTTCCTTCTATTTCAGTTTAAGCTTCGAAAACCAGAAGGTCCTCGCCGTAGTTTATCTTTGAACATGCGGAGATGCATGGAAGAAATTGAAATGAAGTCGTCGCCTACTTTAATGCGTAAATCAAACTGCCTAGTCCCAAATCGATTAACAAAAGATAATAGACTAGTGCATGTTGTAGAAGAAGAAATGCAGGATATAGATGTTGATCGTATTAAATTAGCCGTAGAAAGATTATCAGACAGTGGAGAATTGATAGCTGATTGTAGCAGACCATACACTCTTCCTGTTATATGTGGTAAACATAAAGATCTCAAATCAATCACACCTCAAACAGTAAGTGATTAAAACTAATTGACCAAGTTATCTTGACGTCTCTCTCAATAAACCTTTATCTTCAGGAAATGGTTGAAGAATAGTAAAGATGTTGTTGTTTCCGAAGTCACAAAAACACTTCATTTCGTAAACTTTACAATATGTGTATCCAATATTCATTTGCTTTATTTTACAGCTTACAGATCTATTCGGCGGAGAGTATAACCAATTTCATACTAGCTTCACAATCATCGACTGTAGATATCCATATGAATATAACGGAGGACACATTCAAGGCGCAGTTAATATTTATACCAAACAGTCTATTGATGTATTATTACAACGATCAGAAAAAGGCAGACCTCAGATTCTTATCTTCCATTGTGAATTTTCATCCCAGAGGGCCCCTACATTGTAAGTATATATTATAAACCCAATGTTCTATTCAAAATCATTGGAATTTCTATATAATTCTTTCAATTTGAAATATCTCAACAAAGCTAGGCCTTGCATTGATAAACCTGCTAAATAGTGAAATAAACTGTTTCTTTCAGATTACGCTACATGAGATCACAAGATCGTGTGTTAAACTCTCAAAACTATCCAAGACTATACTACCCAGAAGTCTATATTCTACATGGAGGCTACAAAGCCCTATACGAACATAATCAGGTAATTTTTAACAATTCAATTATCTGCTTAAATTGACGTAACTCAAATTAAGAAGAAGTTTCAATTTAGATAAATACTAATTCCTTCAATATTTATCATCTCGATGTCATTCTATGGTGTAAGATATTTAGCGATCTGAGAGAGTATATGTCTACCTACATTTAAAGCAAATGCTAAACGGCTCTGAAAACGGAAATACGCTGCTTACAATCTTCACAATTATATATTTTAGGATTTGTGCCATCCACCTAGTTATGTTCCGATGCTACATGAAGATTACAGATCAGAATTACATCATATTCGCACCGTAACCAAATCACAGACGGAACGAGAGAAAACTAGAGGAAAAAGTAAAACAATGTCACGTGTTGTTAGGTTTTAAACTGTTATTGTTATTTATATGAATTTGTTATGTTTGAAATTGATTTTACTGCAGTATATATTGTTGTTCTGTTATAATTTATTTTGTAAATATGAATCAAACAAAACTCTTTAATAGTAATAAATCAGGTGAAATGTATTCTGTGTTTACCATTTATTCGTGAACGCTGGATTGCTTCAGCATTAAGGAATCCGTATTATACAATGAAATCCACTGGAATATATGAAAGTATTTGTTCTGGATCAATTATTTTGCTTTTCTATTAATTCACAACTTTCTTGCAAAGTGAAAACAAATACCCCCAGACTAGTTTGTCTTACAAAAGTTCACTTTTTGTAATCCCGCATGCTAATGGCATCGAATATATTTAGAAAAGTCGAAATTGTAGAGCGATAATTTCAAAATCTCTCATCTGTTAAGATATTAAAAGAATTGCACGGACCGGTGGGTGGCAAGCTACACAATATATAAGCCAAATACCAAGAATTGAACGGACCGGTGGGTGGCAAGCTACACAATATACAAGCCAAATACCAAGACCTCTCCGAGTTCAGTTTGTTGGCTAATCAAAGAAAAATTCATTTGTCAAAAATGCGCGCATTGTTTCTGCCAATATACGTGAAAATTGTTATGAAGAAATATTTTCTTACCTGCCAACGCAAGCATAACGTCAACTGTACGGAAACTAATACTCAAATGAGATGTATCATTAAAAGCGCGGACGTGATAGAAAGACAATAGGACAAACAATGACATAACGTCATGTTCAATTTGTTGATATCATTATTTCCACAAATTACTCATTTTTATTTTTACTATAGATACAATATCCTAATGTAATTATATTTTTGGGACAGCTACGATATATTAAATAATGCATTGGGTTATTAAAACAGCTGGTAGAAAGTTATTATAGAAGACACTCTAAAAGTGGACGCAGGAGAACCACGCCATGCACAAACAAACCCCTGAAGACAAAACCGCGACAAGACGCATAATATACATAGTCATTCAAGCAAATGAACCCAGTGCTAATCGCAGGCTTCCACTTTGCTGTAGTCCTACAGTCCCTAGCCTGTAATGATACAGATTCCCTTCGAAATGAAAGCAGACTTACACTATATAAGGGTGACAAACATCGAACAACGGGGGAATATTTGCCAAACGCGTCGATCAATACTTTATCATAAGTAAAATATATTTATAGCAGAACGTCCGTGTTATACTAATTATCTCAATTGCAGTAGGCCTACTCTAGACTTCCAGTCGAAGGTACATCAAAATGTTTATGGTAAATACTAACCATATCAAATAATTAAACGCACCACGTGCAGAGCAAACAAGTGGAAAATGGCAAAATGTCTGCTAGGTAAATTAAGTATAGCCTGTCACATGGGAGGAAACTCTTTAAAGGATCTACAGGGCTAAGACTAGTAATTATATTCCCTTATTTCATGATGGACGAATGTAGTGCGAGTTATAAATAGACATTTTTTCCCTTGATTGTTTTCTCCCCTCTTCTTGTATTTTTTGGTTGACTTTTTGGTCTAGAATTGCAGAAAAGGGCTCAAATTTGCAATTTCATAGCAGTTTTGGGTACATCAAAATGTTTATGGTAAATACTAACCATATCAAATAATTAAACGCACCACGTGTAGAACGAATAAGTGGAAAATGGCAAAATGTCTGCTAGGAAAATTAAGAATAGCCTGTCACATGCAGTGGCGGAGCGAGCCCCCGCCGTTGGAGGGGCAAAAAAGCTGATGAAAAGTCCAAGGTTAAGTGGGCAAAGGCGCGAGCTTCAACTAGGGGTATGGGGTGGAGGGTCTCCTCCAGATATATTTGAAAAACAGACTGTCGGAAATGCAGTCTGGCAGTATTTAAGGCATTGAGCGCATTTTAACAAAATAATCCGACCAGAGAGGAGAGTGTCAGACTTGCGAACAGACATTCGAACCTCAACGAAGCCCCCGAAAAATTGAAAAGTAGACCTGGCAGTATTTCAGGCACTGAGCGTCGAGATAAATAGAGCTTACCAGATAGCGCCTGTCGACAAATCACTAGTTTATCATACCAGAGATAAGTGTCAATCGAAAGGAGTGCGTGAATCAAAATGAATGAATATTTATCAGCTTTTTAACTAAATTAAATCTTACATAATACATCTTTAATAATATGATCATGACTAAAACGTGATTTTTCGTACAATCCGATACAACATGAAAGATCATTTCGAATATAAATTCTGGCACATGCAATCTTTATAAGCAGTCTTAACTGCACATGGCTGTTTGAAATGAAATCAAGAAATACCTAAGTGATCAAAGTAAACGTATTTACAAAAACTAAAAAAATAGATCTCTTCATTATTCGTTAAGATAGTTCATATGCACATTATCAATCACTTAGCGATTGGTACTCATTGATAAGTGATAAACAATCAGTAATAGGTCACAAATCAATCATAAGTAATCAATAATCGATTGTTATTCAATGATCAATGATGATTTAATTCACTCATTGATTGTTCGGGTATCAGTATATATTACGTGTGATAGCATAATGTTTTATTTCGAATCTTGTCTTCGGTCTCCTGCTTGTGTAATACATTTATCTTTGAACATGCGGAGATGCATGGAAGAAAGTGAAATGAAGTCGTCGCCTACTTTAATGGGTAAATCATACTGCCTAGTCCCAAATCGATTAACAAAAGATAATAGACTAGTGCATGTTGTAGAAGAAGAAATACAGGATATAGATGTTGATCGTATTAAATTAGCCGTAGAAAGATTATCAGACAGTGGAGAATTGATAGCTGATTGTAGCAGACCATACACACTTCCTGTTATATGTGGTAAACATAAAGATCTCAAATCAATACACCTCAAACTAATTGACCAAGTTATCTTGACGTCTCTCTCAATAAACCTTTATCTTCAGGAAATGGTTGAAGAATAGTAAAGATGTTGTTGTTTCCGAAGTGACAAAAACACTTCATTTCGAAAACTTTACAATATGTGTATCCAATATTCATTTACTTTATTTTACAGCTTACAGATCTATTCGGCGGAGAGTATAACCAATTTCATACTAGCTTCACAATCATCGACTGTAGATATCCATATGAATATAACGGAGGACACATTCAAGGCGCAGTTAATATTTATACCAAACAGTCTATTGATGTATTATTACAACGATCAGAAAAAGGCAGACCTCAGATTCTTATCTTCCATTGTGAATTTTCATCCCAGAGGGCCCCTACATTGTAAGTATATATTATAAACCCAATGTTCTATTCAAAATCATTGGAATTTCTATATAATTCTTTCAATTTGAAATATCTCAACAAAGCTAGGCCTTGCATTGATAAACCTGCTAAATAGTGAAATAAACTGTTTCTTTCAGATTACGCTACATGAGATCACAAGATCGTGTGTTAAACTCTCAAAACTATCCAAGACTATACTACCCAGAAGTCTATATTCTACATGGAGGCTACGAACATAATCAGGTAATTTTTAACAATTCAATTATCTGCTTAAATTGACGTAACTCAAATTAAGGAGAAGTTTCAATTTAGATAAATACTAATTCCTTCAATATTTGTCATCTCGATGTCATTCTATGGTGTAAGATATTTAGCGATCTGAGAGAGTATATGTCTACCTACATTTAAAGCAAATGCTAAACGGCTCTGAAAACAGAAATACGCTGCTTACAATCTTCACAATTATATATTGTAGGATTTGTGCCATCCACCTAGTTATGTTCCGATGCTACATGAAGATTACAGATCAGAATTACATCATATTCGCACCGTAACCAAATCACAGACGGAACGAGAGAAAACTAGAGGAAAAAGTAAAACAATGTCACGTGTTGTTAGGTTTTAAACTGTTATTGTTATTTATATAAATTTGTTATGTTTGAAATTGATTTTACTGTATATATTGTTGTTCTGTTATAATTTATTTTGTAAATATGAATCAAACAAAACTCTTCAAAAGTAATAAATCAGGTGAAATGTATTCTGTGTTTTCCATTTATTCGTGAACGCTGGATTGCTTCAGCATTAAGGAATCCGTATTGTACAATGAAATCCACTGGAATGTATGAAAGTATTTGTTCTGGATCAATTATTTTGCTTTTCTATTAATTCACAACTTTCTTGCAAAGTACCTCCAGACTAGTTTGTCTTACAAAAGTTCACTTTTCGTAATCCCGCATGCTAATGGCATCGAATATATTTAGAAAAATCGAAATTGTAGAGCGATTAACGGGTATCTATTCAGATACTCCCTGTGATTTTGAAAATAATTTCAAAATCTCTCATCTGTTCAGATATTAAAAGAATTGAACGGACCGGTAGATGACACGATAAACAATATACAAGCCAGATACCAAGACCTCTCCGAGTTCAATTTGTTGGCTAATCAAAGAAAAATTCGTTGGTCAAAAATGCGCGCATTGTTTCTGCCAATATACGTGGAAATTGTTATGAAAAAATATTTTCTTACCTGCAAGACGCAAGCAGAATGTCAACTGTAAGGATACTCATACTTAAATGAGTTGTATCATTAAAAGCGCAGACGTGATAGAAAGACAATAGGACAAACAATGACATAACGTCATGTCCAATATTTGTTGATATCATTATTTCCACAAATTACTCATTTTTTTTTTTACTATAGATACAATATCCTAATGTAATTATATTTTGGGGACAGCTACGATATATTAAATAATGCATTGGGTTATTAAAACAGCTGGTAGAAAGTTATTATAGAAGACACTCTAAAAGTGGACGCAGGAGAACCACGCCATGCACAAACAAACCCCTGAAGACAAAACCGCGACAAGACGCATAATATACATAGTCATTCAAGCAAATGAACCCAGTGCTAATCGCAGGCGTCCACTTTGCTGATTGGATAATATTAGATTGATTTTAGTGCTTAGCCAATCAAAACCGAAGTATCTACTAAAATTTGGATTTTATCTTTAGTTAAGATTTCGTGAAACAGGGCCCAGGCCTGTAATGATACAGATTCCCTTCGAAATGAAAGCAGACTTACACTATATAAGGGTGACAAACATCGAAAAACGGGGGAATATTTGCCAAACGTGTCCATCATTACTTTATCATAAGTAAAATATATTTATAGCAGAACGTCCGTGTTATACTAATTATCTCAATTGCCGTAGGCCTACTCTAGACTTCCGGTCGAAGGTACATCAAAATGTTTATGGTAAATACTAACCATATCAAATAATTAAACGCACCACGTGCAGAGCGAACAAGTGGAAAATGGCAAAATGTCTGCTAGGTAAATTAAGTATAGCCTGTCACATGAGAGGAAACTCTTTAAAGGATCTACAGGGCTAAGACTAGTAATTATATTCCCTTATTTCATGATGGACGAATGTAGTGCGAGTTATAAATAGACATTTTTTCCCTTGATTGTTTTCTCCCCTCTTCTTGTATTTTTTGGTTGACTTTTTGGTCTAGAATTGCAGAAAAGGGCTCAAATTTGCAATTTCATAGCAGTTTTGGGTACATCAAAATGTTTATGGTAAGTACTAACCATACCAAATAATTAAACGCACCACGTGTAGAACGAACAAGTGGAAAATGGCAAAATGTCTGCTAGGAAAATAAAGAATAGCCTGTCACATGCAGTGGCGGAGCGAGCCGCCGGTCGTTGGAGGGGCAAAAAAGCTGATGAAAAGTCCAACGTTAAGTGGGCAAAGGCGCGAGCTTCAACTAGGGGTATGGGGTGGAGGGTCTCCTCCAGAAATTTTTGAAAAACAGACTGTCGGAAATGCAGTCTGGTAGTATTTCAGGCATTGAGCGCATTTTGAAAAAAAAAAACAGCCGGAAATGCAGTCGTACAGTATTCAGGCATCGATTGTCGGGATAAATAGAGTTGATCAGATACCGCCTGTCGCCTGCAGGTCTAGTTTATCCGACCAGAGAGGAAAGTGTCAGACTTGCGAACAGACTTGCGAACCTCAACGAAGCCCCCGAAAATTTGAAAAGTATTTCAGGCACTGATCGTCGAGATAGATAGAGCTTACCAGATAGCGCCTGTCGCCAAATCACTAGTTTATCATACTAGAGATAAGTGTCAATCGAAAGGAGTGCGTGAATCATAGTGAATGAATATTTATCAGCTTTTTAACTAAACTAAATCTTACATAATACACCTTTAATAATATGATCACGACTAAAACGTGATTTTTCGTACAATCCGATACAACATGAAAGATCATTTCCAATATAAATTCTGTCACATGCAATCTTTATAAGCAGTCTTCACTAGCTGTTTGAAATGAAATCAAGAAATACCTGATAAGTGATCAAAGTAAACGTATTTACAAAAACTAAAAAAATAGATCTCTTCATTATTCGTTAAGACAGTTCATATGCACATTATCAATCACTTAGCGATTGGTGCTCATTGATAAGTGATAAACAATCAGTAATAGGTCACAAATCAATCATAAGTAATCAATAATCGATTGTTATTCAATGATCAATGATTTTTTAATTCACTCATTGATTCATTGATTATACGGGTATCAGTATATATTAGGTGTGATAGCATATGTTTTATTTCGTATCTTGTCTTTAGGTCTCCTGCTTGTGAAATACCTGATAAGTGATCAAAGTAAACGTATTTACAAAAACTAAACAAATAAATATCTTCATTATTCGTTAAGACAGTTCATATGCACATTATCAATCACTTAGCGATTGATGCTCATTGACAAGTGGTAAACAATCAGCAATAGGTCGCAAATCAATCATAAGTAATCAATAATCGATTGTTATTCAATGATCAATGATGATTTAATTCACTCATTGATTGTACGGGCATCAGTATATATTAGGTGTAATACAGTTTTCTCGTTAAAACATGGATGTTGAAGTAAGAATATTTATTGTTTTGTTATAAGTATATTAATTTGGTTTTAATTACACTGACTTTGTAAGTGTGTTTACTTTCGTTAACGACAAAATCATGTTTTCCTTCTATTTCAGTTTAAGCTTCGAAAACCAGAAGGTCCTCGCCGTAGTTTATCTTTGAACATGCGGAGATGCATGGAAGAAAGTGAAATGAAGTCGTCGCCTACTTTAATGCGTAAATCAAACTGCCTAGTCCCAAATCGATTAACAAAAGATAATAGACTAGTGCATGTTGTAGAAGAAGAAATGCAGGATATAGATGTTGATCGTATTAAATTAGCCGTAGAAAGATTATCAGACAGTGGAGAATTGATAGCAGACCATACACTCTTCCTGCTATATGTGGTAAACATAAAGACCTCAGATTCTTATCTTCCATTGTGAATTTTCATCCCAGAGGGCCCCTACATTGTAAGTATATATTATAAACCCAATGTTCTATTCAAAATCATTGGAATTTCTATATAATTCTTTCAATTTGAAATATCTCAACAAAGCTAGGCCTTGCATTGATAAACCTGCTAAATAGTGAAATAAACTGTTTCTTTCAGATTACGCTACATGAGATCACAAGATCGTGTGTTAAACTCTCAAAACTATCCAAGACTATACTACCCAGAAGTCTATATTCTACATGGAGGCTACGAACATAATCAGGTAATTTTTAACAATTCAATTATCTGCTTAAATTGACGTAACTCAAATTAAGGAGAAGTTTCAATTTAGATAAATACTAATTCCTTCAATATTTGTCATCTCGATGTCATTCTATGGTGTAAGATATTTAGCGATCTGAGAGAGTATATGTCTACCTACATTTAAAGCAAATGCTAAACGGCTCTGAAAACGGAAATACGCTGCTTACAATCTTCACAATTATATATTGTAGGATTTGTGCCATCCACCTAGTTATGTTCCGATGCTACATGAAGATTACAGATCAGAATTACATCATATTCGCACCGTAACCAAATCACAGACGGAACGAGAGAAAACTAGAGGAAAAAGTAAAACAATGTCACGTGTTGTTAGGTTTTAAACTGTTATTGTTATTTATATAAATTTGTTATGTTTGAAATTGATTTTACTGTATATATTGTTGTTCTGTTATAATTTATTTTGTAAATATGAATCAAACAAAACTCTTCAAAAGTAATAAATCAGGTGAAATGTATTCTGTGTTTTCCATTTATTCGTGAACGCTGGATTGCTTCAGCATTAAGGAATCCGTATTGTACAATGAAATCCACTGGAATGTATGAAAGTATTTGTTCTGGATCAATTATTTTGCTTTTCTATTAATTCACAACTTTCTTGCAAAGTACCTCCAGACTAGTTTGTCTTACAAAAGTTCACTTTTCGTAATCCCGCATGCTAATGGCATCGAATATATTTAGAAAAATCGAAATTGTAGAGCGATTAACGGGTATCTATTCAGATACTCCCTGTGATTTTGAAAATAATTTCAAAATCTCTCATCTGTTAAGATATTAAAAGAATTGAACGGACCGGTAGATGACACGATAAACAATATACAAGCC